GGGGAGGGAGCGCACCCAAGCGCGCCCTTGGCAGTGAAGGGCCTTGGCCCAGTCACAGCATGCTGCCCACGTCCAGGTGCTGGGTTGTTCACTTCCCTGGATACGGGGCCCTCGCGCCCTCTGACACTTGAACAGTCTGTTAAGCACACTTACAAGGAGGAGAGGCAGCAAGGGACCATCATCCTGAACAATGTAGTAAGTCAGGAAATCTGGATTCTAGCCTGGGCTGTGCCACTTATTAACTGTGAAACCTTGGGCAAGTCACAACCTTTCTAAACTTGTTTTGTTGTCTCATAAAATGGCAGTTAATAATCACTCTCTGGTCACTTCATAGTATCGATGTGAGGATTAAAAATAAAGTGTTATAGCCCTGGCCCGTGTGGCTCAGTTGGTTGGGCGTCATCCCATGTACCAAAAGGTTGGCGGTTCGATTTCTGGTTGGGGCACATGCCCGGGCTGTGGGCTGGATCCCCAGTAGGAGGCTTGCAGCAGGCAGCCTATTGCTCTTCACTCTTACATCAGTGTTCCTCTCTCTCCCTCCCCCCTCCCCTCTTTCTATAAATCAATTTTAAAAATCTTAAAAAAAATAAAGTGTCATCCAGCCTTATAGTTTCTAATCCTGGTATCTGTCTCTTCTCCACAGTTGCAGAGAGCTCTAATTTAAGCTCTTACCATCTCTCACCTGAACTACTGCAACTGCTTCCTTACTGTTGTTTTTTTAAACCTGCCAACTGTCATCTCCAAGCTGCACTCCGGGTGCTATTTCCAAGACCTAAACGTAATCACAAAACTTTTCTTAAAAACATCCCACGCCGTCCACTGCCTATAGGAAGTGACATTTGAGGCCCTCATGATCTAGTCCTATGACTTCTCTAGACTCTCTCTTGCTCTCACTCTCCAACTCTGTACTACCACACAAGCTCTTTATCATTCCCAGAATATGCCAGGAACATCACATCTCTGTATTTTTGCTGACAACGCTCACTCTTCCTGGCCCAGTCTTTCCCCAAAAGCTACCTGGTAAACATTTATTAATTCATCAGTCATGGGCTGAAGACTCATCTACCTCTACTATGAAGTCCTGTCTTTTCCCCACCCCTTGACCACAGCCCCATCATAGATCCCATAAGGTTCACTATCCTGGTCTCTAATTCTTAGAAGTTGGCTTCTCTCTCCCACTAAACTGGGAGCTCCTTGAGAACAGGATCCTGTCTTACTGGTCTTTGTCTCTTCAAAGGGCCAGTTTAGGGCGTGGTACAGAACCATGGATGCTATAACTGAAGGGATGAGGAAGCATGACAGCTTCTCCCGCTTTTTATTGAGTTTTCTGTCCAAGTTCATACCTCCTGAGGCAAACAACAAGTGACTCCCATAAAAGACAGGAGAAACAAGTCTGTAACTAGCAAAATTGAAATAATAAAATTTTTACAAGGACAGGCTGTTAGCATTTAAAGGGACCTCAGAGATCATCTGGAATAAAACACATTATCTATGGCCTGGAGACATTAGCGAATTGCCCAAGATCACACAGCCCATAGCAGCGGCAAAGAGAAATTTTCATAGCTCATCTCGTGAAAGATGCGCCACACATAGATTCAATATTCAGCATCCAAGTAATTTAAGGGTAAAAGTTGAGAAGGTGTGCAGAGATTTTACAGAAACATTGTCCTGAGCAGCCCAGGTAAGGGTGGTGAAAGTGGCAAGTCCCTCCCATGGTCCCTTCCTGTCTATGACAAAAAGGACCTAGTCAAGTTACACTGCTGGGACCCTCACAGGTGCCCAGAAGTTCCTGTGGTGCCTTGGGCCTGGAGTCCACACTGCCCAGAGAACCCAGCTCTGGTCCCTTACTCATTTGGGCACACTTGGCCCTCACCTCTCTCCATCCAGGAAAATGCCCTGAAAAAGATCCAGAGCTCAAGGTCTGGGCTACCGAAACAGATTGTATCTCAAGTCAACCAGGTCTTCAAACATGTCAGACTGCCGATGGAGATGAGGAATCTAATCCTGGGACAGACTGGTTTTTTGGATTCTTATAGGCATAACCCAGGTACTCCTCCAAGGGGCTGCCACAGAGCCAACAGAGGAGTCATACCAGCCCAGGAATTTTTGTTTCACTTGTTTGAATTCAGCAGTCAGGTTAGGGTGAAGGTTTCTGACCTGGGTCAGATGGGACTCTGGAGGTGAGGACAGGGAGAGACACCTTTTAGTGTCATGATCCTTCACTGCTGCCCTAGGGGATGCTTCATGTGTGTCTCCAACCCATGATTTTGCACCATCAGACATGTTCCTGCATGCTTTAGGAACTGCTGCTGAGCCACCTGGGGGAGCCCAAGCCTAGGGGATGGGATTTAGGGAGGGGAGGAGAGGGGATCTACCGTTGTTACGAGATAACACATTCATAGGCCATAATACATATGAGGAAAAATAGCTCTCCTACCATAAGCTGAATGCAGGAACTGAAACTCTGTTGGATAGAAATGTTAGTTGAAATTACCACTAAGAATCTGCGCAAAGTAGTACACATTGCAGTTACAAAAACAGATTTTGTCTCAAGTTAGCAGTTTACCCCAAGCTATACAAGAAACAGAATGCAGAGGGTGCGAAGTGCCTCTACCCTGGAGGGAGTGACAGACTTGCCATCCAGAGAAAACCATTCATTGAGGGGTACCTCCTTGGCAGCTGACCCAGAAGCTGCCTGGAGGTGAACAAGCCCAAGCTTCTGCTCTTTGCTTGTCCATGCTAAGAGTAAGTTTCAATTCTCCCAAGTACTGCAGAGGAACTTCATGCATGACAGAGACTTTGTGTGCTACAGGACATGAAGGTTCAGGGACAAAATGATCATTTTGGCCTCTGAAGAGCTCTCTGTTAAAGCCCCAGAGAGCTAGGACCAATGCAAAGGCACTTCATTCCCCGAGGTCTCTGGGGAAATGTGGTGCAGGAGGAGGAGAACAGGCTGTGGGCTCAGACAGGTTGGGTTTGAATCCCAGCTCCACTGCTTTTTAGCTGAGCAACTCTGGAGAAGTTATTTAACTCACTGAGCAAAATCGGAGGCAAGAAGCTCTACCTCACAAGACTAAGGTAAAAATGAACATCTGTGACAGGCCCTGCACAAGGCCTGGAAGATGGCAGGTGTTCAGAACACCCAAATCCTTTCCTTTGCCTTTCCCCATGATCATTATATGTCAAATGGGAAGAATACACTTGCACTTTACAAGGCTGCTATGAAATCGAGTGAGACAACAGATGAAAATGATTTATAAACAGATTTCTTATGAGACAGTATTTCATTCTTATCAATATTAGTAATCCACCTTACCCTTTCCTTTCATTTTCAAGTCAGATTACCATTAATATGACACATCCTTTGGTCTTCAGATTCTGAAAACAAGTCTCAGTTGGCTCCTGCCTCTTGGGGGGCCGAACAGTTCTTAAATAAGATCCCTGAAGTCATTAAGAGCTTGGGGAAAAGCTCCAAGTACCTGCATTGCCTTCAGAACCAATGAAATGTTTCCCTGCATCCTGGACAGATGACATATGAGGGTACTCAAAGCTGCTAAAAATAGCACTCTCTGAAGCAACTTCTTGGTCTCCTTGAAGAAGCTGAGAGAAATTTAAACCTGAGAGCAGGCTCCTTTGCAGGTTTCTACCCCGCAGGCAACTCTCAGCATCACAAGTGGCTGACTCTGGCAGGAAGCTGAAAGTAACCTCCACTGTCTGTCCTCTCTGCCCTTGAGCCAGTTAGTTCCTCTGCAGCAGGAGCTCCCCCACTGCAGTCAGGAGACCTGGTGAGTACAAGTACAGACGCCAGCCTCCCGCATAGAAACAGACCAGGTGTGCATGTGCTATGACCCTGGTCTTCCAACTCCCAGTTTGGGGCTTTCTGACACAATGAGCTAATCCCACCCTCTCTAATGGATTTTGTGGGTTTCTGAGAAAATTGTTTGGGTTGGTTTAGTCACAGCTTAGAAATATGTTGACCTTCCAAAATACAAAATTGGGGGAAATCGAGTTTGATGAGGGCTGATACCTTGTTTGGTTTGAAAGGAGCTTTCCAATTTCTATTACCCCCAGACCCACCCCCCATCTCAGCCTCCTCCTGCCTGCTCTCCCTTCCCCCTCTGGTCTGGCTGCTCTAGTCTAACCCTCAATTTCTCTCTGGCCAGCTCCAAGTGTAATGTCGTGGTGAAGAGCACATGCAGGTGCGGTGGCAGGATGCCTGGGCTTGGATCTTGTGCTACTTCCCTGACTTCTAAAGTTTTAGTTTTCTCGGTTGGAAAATGGGAACAACAACAGTACTGACCTCAAAGGTTTGCTGTGATATAAAACAAGTTAATATCCATAAAGAACTTAAAATAGTCCCTGGCACATAGGAACCATTCAACAAATATTAGCTATTTATTTCCCATCCTCTACATTCTTGCCAAACTAATCCTAAAACAATTCCACACTCTCTCATCAGAAGTTCTGAACATCATGAGAAAATAACCCAGGGCAGGGGAATAGTCTTGGGAAATGCACAGCCTCCCCCCTCAACTGGGCCTCCAATGCTACACACCTGCTTCTCCCTCAAGTCTCTATTGCTGGGCCCTCTGTGAAGCCTGCCCTACACTTTCGCCTCAGGCAGACTGTTGTTTCCTCCTCTGCATCCTCTCCTCTTATGTGTATCCTTTCTACCATGCTCATCAACACTGCACAGCCATGAATTTGTTCAAATGCCAGCTCCCAAATGGACTGTAAGCCACTGAGGCAAAGACGGCAGCCTTTCTTTTTCTATCCCAGTGTGGAAGACATTCAACAAATAAATTCTTGCTGAGTAAATGAAGAGGAACTTACATAAAACCACCTACAACCCTGAGGCAGGTGGCATACTTCTCAGAGGCATGAGGTAACTTGTCCAAGGCCTCACAACTAGTGAGCTGAGTAATCAGGATTCAAACCCAGGACTAACTGCAGAGCCCACTCTTTCTCCTACCCCTTGAGTGTTAAAGCACCGGCTGAGTGTGGGGATTAAGATCAGTGAGGAGACCTCTGTACTGCTCCTAGGCCAAACCAGAACAAACTTTTTCAACATTTCCAAACTTATTTCAACATTTATCCAAGGAGGGTTGGGTTTTTATTATTTTTGAAAAACAAGTTCCTTGCCTCAGCTTGAAAACCAGCTTTATCCTCTGATGGCAAGTCTCTCATTCTCTTCCAAATCCACACCCAGAGAGTGTGTGTGTGTGTGTGAGAGAGAGAGAGAGGGAGAGCGAGAGGGAGAGAGGGGGTGTGTGTGAGAGAATTGTGTGTGTGAGACAGTGTGTGTGTATGAGTGTGACAGTGTGTGTATGTGTGAATGTGAGTGTGTGTGAGAAACAGTGTGTGAGTGAGAGAGCTGTGTGTGAGAGACAGAGAGTGTGTGACAGTGTGTGAGTGTGTATGTGTGTGTGTCTGTGTAAGAGTGTGTGTGTATGTGTCTCTATGACACCCACAGAGGCAACTGAGCAAAGAACAGATTTGGATGCTGTTTGGGAGAGCAAAAAGGTTCTGTGAGGAGGATGCATGTCTTAGACATTCTAACAGAGGAGAGATGGAACAAACTTAAATCCCAAGTAGAATGGAGGAGATTCTACTCCTGCCCCCACCCTAAGGCTGAACTGCCTCTGTTCCCAGAGGGAACACTCAGGAGAATCATACTAGGACGAGCTGAGCCAAGAGCAATTAAGAACAGGGAAAGGCCAGCAGATGGGTTTGTTTTCCCAAACAGATCCCACCTCCCACCCCACTCACCACCACTATCTCCACCTTCTCCTTACCTGGGGCGTAACTGGGGCTATTGGTGGGGTACAGGCTGGGATTGTAGGCAGGGGCAGCTGCCGGGTAGGCTGTGGGATAACCTACAAAGAGACAAGAAAAGCTCCATTTAGTTGGGCAAGAAGAAAAGTAAATTTCTGAGGTCATATCTAAGAATCCATCACCAAATCCATGGTCATGAAGATTTACCCTTACGTTTTCTTCAAAGAGTTTTATGGTTTTGGCTCTTATATTTAAATCATTAATCCATTTTTGTAAATGGTGTGAGGTAGGGATAGATGATAGATGATAGATAGATGATAGATAGTTTTATATTCTATCTTCTAACACTTTAACATTATAAGCATTTTCCCATATAATTACACATTTTCAGAAACTTTTTTTTTTCAATATATCTTTATTGATTTCAGAGAGAGGAAGGGAGAGGGAGAGAGAGACAGAAACATCAATGATGAGAAAGTCGTCATTGACCAGCTGCCTCCTGCATGTCCCCAACTGGGGATCGAGCCCACAACCCAAACATGTGCACTGACCGGAAATCGAACCGTGATCTTCTGGATCCTAGGTAGATGCTCAACCGCTGAGCCATGCCTGGCTGGGCTCAAAAACATTTTAAATATCTTTATAATATTACGTTATGTAGCTATATCAAATCATTTAACCATTACTCTATTTCTAGATGTTTAGGTTGTTTGAAACTTTTATTTATTATGCATAAGCTATGAAAACAACCTAAATAAATCTTTGGCCGCACCTCTGATGATTTCTTTAGGAACCAGTTCTAGAAATCTCATTTCTAGGTCAAAAGACAGTGCTATTTTTAAAGCTCATCCATTCAACAAATATCTGAGTATCTACTCTGTGCCAGACACTATGATCCCTGCCCTTGTGGAGCTTAGATTCTAAGAGGGTGTGAGAGGCAGTGGATAACTAGTAAATATAAACAAAAACAGTCTTAAGTGCTATGGAAAAGAGAAAACGGGCAGGATAAAGGACACTGGAAGTGCTACAATGCTGGGGGACGAGCACTGCAATATTATATAGGGTAATCAGCAAAAGACACATTGAGAAGGTAAGATTTTTACAAAGACTTGAAGGAAATAGAGTTAACCAAGCAGATGGCTCAAAAGAGAGTGTTGCAAAGGACAGTCAGTGCAAAGGCCCCAAGTTCTGAGCATACAGAACGTGTCTGAGGAACAGCAAGGAGGCCAGTGTGGCTGAAGTGGAGTAAGTGAGGGGGACAGTAGTAGTGGAAGAAGTCAGAGAGATAAAGGGCTGATCAGTTCATGAAGGGTCTTATGGGCTACTGTAAGAACTTCAATTTTTACTCTGAGTGAAATGAGAAGCCTTCATGGGGTTTGGAACAGAATAACAATATGATCTCACTTAAGTTTGAAAAGGGTCCTTTGACTGCCGTGTTGAAAACAGACTATAAGAGGGGAAGGGTAGAGAAGCACAGAGGCTATTGTAAACGTCCGTCATCAACAAATGATGGGGCTCAGATCAGGGCTACAGCAGGGGTGATGAGAAGTAATACGCTAAGTCTTCACATACTTTGCCACACTGCTCTCTAGAAAGACTATCAACCTGTACGTGCACGAGCAGAGGGTAAGTGCCTGTCTCACTGCTCCCTGTAGTTTTTCTTAAATGCTCATTGGTATTTTGACTGACAATGAAAAGCTGCTTTTAAAAGTCAAAGATTAAATCCCTAAATCCCTAAAAGCTTCTTTGGGATTTGTAAATATTGAGCTTTAATAATGTATCTTTGTTAATATGCCTTTCCCTAAATCCTCTCCAATTCCAAAGAAAATTAATCTCTCTTCCCCAGACCCCATTCATTTCCTGATTTCAGAACTGAGGTAGCCAACTTGTCACTTAATTAGCAATGTGGAGGTCTGCCACTTCTCAAGAAGAAAGTCAGGGATTTAATTTGGGAAGCAAAGTGATCCAGTCTCATGCCTGAACTCTACTCAGCTTCATGTGAGAGATCATGCACCCAGGGTAATTACACCCATTAGGTCATTTCAGTTGCCTCTCACTTTAGGAGCAATTATAGGAGCTTCCTTCAATTCTTCCAACTGGAATTTTATTTCATTCATTTAAATTTGGCAGATATCATAGAATGGCAGCATTAGGAACTTTATTTGGCCCAACCCTTTTCATTTTATAGATGATATCCCTAGGCCAAAATAAAGGAAGGGACTTAGGGTCACAGACTGCTGAAGTTAGAAGCATCTTAAAGGCCATGTGATCTTCACCTATAGGTAGACCAGGGGTGGGGAACCTTTTTTCTGCCAAGGGCCATTTGGATATTTGTAACATCATTCACAAGCCATACAAAATTATCAACTTTAAAATTAGCTATGAAAACAACTCCTAGATTTACTGAATTTCAAGTCCTGCCTGCAGTTGTCTTGGCAGGACCAGACCAAATGATTTCGCAGGCCTTGTATGGCCCTCGGACTGGATGTTCCCCATCCCTGGGCTAGAGCTTCCTCTGCACAACACACTCACAGGATCATTCATTCCAGCCTTTACATCTCTATTGAGAGCGAACGCCTTCCTTTCCTGAGACAACCTCCTGCCCCCATGAGACTGCTCTGAAAGAAAATAACTTCTCATATGGCACAAACTCTGACCACCAGTAGGTGCTACTCTTTAGAAAAGAACAAATTTGAAGACACTTGCATCCCCAATTAGAGAACTTATTACACTGTACTTCAGTGGTTTGTTTATACTTCCTGTCTTGACCCCTCTCCTTAAACTGGGAGCTCCTTGAAGGCAGAGCTAAGTCTCATTTGCCTGTACACAATGGCTCTTGGTCAGCCTCCTTCCCACTCCCTGCCTTGTCAACACACTATTCCTCCCCTCCCCTCAGCCTGGATAAGCAGGCATCTGAACTCAAATGCAGGGTGGGCGACAGTCTGTGTGGCCAGCGGAGAACATCCCTTCCCTACCACCAACTTCCTCTGTCCAACAAGGGCATCACAGGTAAGCTGGGTTCTCGCCCCCACAACTTTCTTGGCTTTGTTTTGAATTTTTTGTTTCCTTGCCCCCACCTGATATTATTCATCTTACTGTTTTCTGTTGATAATGATGTTGGCATCTCTAGTACCTAGCACAGATAAGGTAGAGAATAGGTGCTCAATAAAGAGATTAACAGAGGTTGTATTCTGGAGCTATGAGAGGTTTAAAACAAAAGAAAGAAATCCAACTGGCCTTCAGAGGGTCACTAACTAATGAGGGAGAAAGATGAGGGGAAAGTCAGCATGCACTGTGCCAGGCACTTCTTTATCTTATTTAATCTTTACTCTAACTCTGTGAAATACTTATTAGTCCCAATTTAGAGATGATGATATTGAAGCTTAGACTTTTCTTACGAAACTAGCAAATAAAGAGTGGAGATGGAACCCAGGCCTGATCAGTGAGGGACAAAGTCTATTCCTACCAACCTCCCCACCTCTCTTCAAAACTTGAATCTACTCAACATAAACCTCTTGACTTGGCTACCATTTTCTTTGCCAAGATTCTTTTATTTCAGCTGCAAAACTTGGGAAAACAGGAAATCAGTCTGGTCAAAGATGGTTCAGTTAAAAAAAAAAAAAGCTATTCAGTTCCCACTCAGTGTCCTTAATATAGGTTAGGCGCATGTTACTGAAAAGCATCACACAGGTACCAAAACATTGCTGGTTCAATTTCCGGTAGGGGGTGTGGAGGAGCTGATCATGCTCCAGTCTCACATCAGTGTTTTTCTCTCTTTCCCCCTCTCCCTTCCTTTCTCTCTCTAAAATTCAATCAATAAATAAAAAGAAATATATAGCTGTCTCAAGCATGAAGGAATGAAAATGTATGCCATATTAGGGAAATGGCAAATAGTTCAGTATGTTGGAGTTTACAGTAGGGGAGGAGGTGGGGGGATGGTAGGAAATGAAGATAAATAGGTACACTGGGATATATTGTGAAGAGATCTGAATTCCAGGCTAAGGGATGGAAATTATCAATAAATAACAGGAGTCCATTGGAAGATTTTAAACTGGGAATTACAGATTTGTGTTTTATAAACACTACTCCAGCGGCAATATAGAAAGGGGTTCAGGGCGGGTGCGTGGGTGAGACCAGAGAAAGAGGGACCAGAAAGGAAGTTACTGCAGTAGACCAAAGGCAAAGCTAAAATAGTAACAATGGAATAAAGAAAGAGGAAACTACAAAAATGTTTAGGAGACAGTGCCTATAAAAATTTATCCCGAGAGCAAAATCTCATTTTTATTGCCGTGAGCTGAAAGGCTACAGAGGAAAATGGAAATGTTCTAACTGCAGGGTTTGTAGGCTTTTTTGGTCAAATCTTTAATAGGCAGAAGAAAATAAATTAAATAGACCCTTGAATTTGTTAGTTCCACAAAAAAAGCCTAAATCTGAATTCCTCTTACTAGCTGGGGGGAGTGGCTACTGAGAGTGCTATACTGGCAAGAATATAGGTCAGCCAGGACTGGAACCTGAGGTAGCCTGCATGCTGGATTCAAGGCCCAGCCACCAGCCTCCCACTAGTGAGTCCCAGGGGATTGTAGGGGTGTAAGTGAGGCACTGTTCTTCTTAGGGCAAGGCAACTCCCCCTGAGGAAAACAAGAAAGGGGGGAATATCCAGTAATCGATTATGCTCCAGGATGTGTTGCATCTTCAGGGAGAATTTACCCATCCAGATGAAAGCCCAGCAGTCTGTGGGTCATTCACCCAGGCTAAGCCCTAGAAGAGGAAGGCTGCTAAAACCAGAGCAGACTTAGCATGATATGCCTTTAGTGTAAAAACAATATATATCATCAACAAGAAAAGAAAAGAAAATAGGCTATGTAAAAGCTAATAATGAAATTGCTCCTAGGTAAGCACTTAAGGCCAAGTGTGTGCTATTCCTTAGGGGGAAAATTCTTTTACAAATCTAAAAATACCCCCGAAGTTCCCTACCTGCCAGTATGGGAGAAATTTTAATGGAAAGCAGATGGCCTATTTGGTTTCCATTGCCACTCCAGCGGTATGCTGCTGCTGCCCTTTTATTTTCCTGCATCTATTAGAAGATGGGGAGATGCTCAGC